TGGGGGGGGGGGGGGGGGAGGGTTGGAAAAATGCAGCCCCATGGCTGGAGCAAGCAGCTTGGCTTTCTCAGTCCTGGGGCTGCACTTCAAACAAGTACAGATGTTCAGTAGATTCAGGTAACCAGTTCCTGATCTAACTAAGTATACTTCCTCAGGCTAACTAAGTTAGATTGGGCTGGCCATTTTTTACCCAGCCTAATTTACCTGAACATCTGTACAGACGAGTATTTAGAGCAACCTAACCCTAGTTAGGTTAATCTAAGTGTGATGTCTGCACATACCCTAAAGCTGCTGATGCTCAAGAGACTGTGGCACAGCCACTGCATCTTAATAGAGATTGCAATACCCTTTGTTACAGCAAATGCAGGACACATATCAACACATACCAGCAGCCATTTGATCACTGAGGTAAACTGACCATTAGGGCTGGGAAAAATTGGGGGGCAAGTAAGCCAACCTCCTGAAAAATAGAATTGCAGGTCACCTGAATCTCATCTGAATGGTTTTCTACAGGAAAAAAAAGATTGGGAAAAAACAAAATAAATTTTGTCACATCAATGTTTTCTGAATGAGACAATTTGACATTTTATTTCAAATTGTAGAACTGTAGCTACATTAATTTTAAAAAAAACAAAAACAACCGAACAACCTTGTACATTTAATTTATTTAATTACAGCTCAGGCGAAATGTTCCATTCAATGCAAAATGGTATTTTTGGCTAGTCCTGGCAGGAAAGGCCAACAATTTTTAGTGACTTAAAAATAATTTTTTTTTCAGATTTTTAATTTAGACACCCAGTTGAAAAAGCAAATATTTGCATTCCCCAAATGGGCACTATCACCTTTTTCCTTACAAACTGGGCACCTCTACATGGTACATTTACTGCAAACCTGCTTAATTAGCTCTACAGTAAATATCTCAGTATCTATACATGCGCCCCTATTAGGGTACAGGAAACTAATAGACTCCACTGCAGGTTAGTACTTTAAAATACTGTGTGTCAGTGTTTGAATTAACAAGTACTATCCTGTGACAGTTTTTTTAGTGCACAGCAACATGTGTGTAAATGCTGGCAGGGCTGGCTGACACAGAAGGGCACATCAGTGCGGGGGCTGTCTGTCAGCTAGCCCCGCACTGGACCCCCTTGTGCCCCAGCCATCCCCTCCGTAGCACACTAAATTAGGGTGCAGCAGCCCCAGTTTGGTATACCAGTTGACCTCCCCAGGCCTCCTGGCAGCTGAGGCTTCTCCAACCCAGCTCAATGTGCTGTGGTCCCGGGTGCACATTCAAATGTGGTGCCCAGGAGCAATAAACTCCTATGTGATATGCATCAGAGCTTATTGTTTCAAATTAATTGCATGAGAAGGCATGCAGTAGGCATGCCCACTGCATGAGAAAAGTGTTGTATACTTATAAGGAGTGGCGGGTATTTAAAACAGAAGCAGCCTTATTCAGGAAAGCTGATCCATAGAGGCAGAAGGAGTTCCCCAACACTGCTCAGAGTGAGAAGCAGGACGGGATTAGAATTTAAGAGGTTGTGGCCTCTTGTCCTGCACTCTCCACTCTGCTGCCTTGGAAACCAGGAACCTAAATTAAACTAAATTAAATTAAGTCTGGCTAAGGCTTCATCAAGGCCCTGTGTACTACCAAAGCTCTAAAATAAGGCTGTGTAGGATGTCTCTGCAAACACCTACTGGATGCCAAGGAAGTTTCCTCAACAGCTTTGCATAGGATGATGTGTAAAGAGGTTATACGAATAGCTACAATTAAGCGGATCCAGAGGGCTAGAAACCTTTGCTTTAAAGCAGTAGCCGTAGTTATTCTAGTCTAAAAGCTGGAATAACAATTATGGCTGGTCTGTACTGTGTTTCCATAGCCTGCTTACAGACAGATTCTTCCATTCAAAAATCTTTTCAGAGAGTGGACTTAAGGGTTCATCCTTTCTGTTTCTTCCATAGCAAATCAGGGTTGACCTCTTGTGTGAATAAGTTTTATATATATATAAATCCTTGGAGAGAGATATATATATATAAAAAAGGATATATATATATCCTTGTTCAGAGATATCCCTGAACAAGGCCTTGAGGAGTTTCCCATGTGTGTCAGTAGCCCACGAGGATAATGATATGCCCTTTACGAATAGTGTCCCCTCTCTGTGCAGAAAATTTGAGGGTGCTCCTATGAAAACATTTACCAGCATTACCAGGAATGCAAGAGATGGGAGAAGGTGGTATGATTAGGAAGCCCTATCTGGAGGAAATAATTTATTGTAGAGATCTATTTTAGACACTAAGCAAGGAAGTGTCATGATTTCTACCATTTTTCTTTCATCATTTCAGCTTCAAACTCATCAAGAGCAAGCCTATCTACTCAATTTTCTAATGGAAGTGCAGTAACAAAGGATTCATTTTGCTTATTTTTAAAACAAAGTCATGTGTTTATTTCCTTCTCCCTGAATTTGTTTGTAGAATTCAGATTTCCTGCAACGATCTCAGACTCACAGTCTGAAAAAAGTTCCCTATGGTTTTCTTTGCATCTGAAGCACTTGGAGAAAAAACACTGTCACAAACTCCCTATTAGTGACAGTTAGAATTAAGGCACAAAATATGTTCAATTTGCAGCAGCTAGTTTCACTAGAAGCTAACAGAGGAGTCATAACTTTATGCAAGTAAGAACATAAGAGAACATAAGTAGTGCCATACCAGGTCATAAAAATGGTCCATCTAGCTTAGTATCCTGTCTCCAGCAGTAGCAGGAGTGGATGCTTTAGAGGGAGAGCATTGCACTGGGTATATCTGGAGTGATCTATCCATTCCCTCTTCATTACCCTCCCTGGCGTTGATCACCACTGGTTTAAGAAATACCACAAGCTATAACTATAAGTGTTCTGAATTTCAAACACAATGCTTTTGTTTTATGTAAATACGCACGATACCTTTCAAGAATATGGACATTCTGAAGATAAACTAACAAGAGTTCGATTAAAACTGTGAGAAATATTATTGAAAGTACATGGAAAAATTTCTGCATTGCACAATCTGTGGACAACATCCATAGAATCTGATTCTTTTTTAAGACCAGGTTTGAAAGATCTTTGGAAGCTTAGGTTCTTACTTCTTGAGAACTGTAAGTCCTAGGCATTCCTAGAAATGTCCGTGTTTGGAGCCGTGGATTTTGGAGTTTGCAGGCACAGAGTAAACTTCCTGAATTTTTATAAAGAATAATACTATTTAATGTTGTTCCAAATTCATTTCAGAAGTCAACGTTCAAACATTATTTTGTCTCCTTCACTAGTAGCACAGCCTTGGCCTCATCTGTGCAAATTATAATACCATCCATGTCCACTAATTTGCTGTTAGCTTTGGTGATATAACATAGCTTATCTCTGCATGCAGCAACAAGATTATGGTGAGGGTGAGGGTGAGGTTGAGCGAATGTGTTTCAACACTTCTTTTTTGGTATTTATTACCATACCATAACATTCCTGCAGCCTGGCTTGCTGCTGCTCGAGCTGCTTATGCAAACTTCTAATGGAGCGCAGCAGCAGAAGCCTCCGATACATAGCTAGCTGAAGTTGGTATCTCTCCTTTTCTTCCTGCTTTTGTTTTTCAATGGTCTCTGTTACTTTCATAGTTTTCATCCAAATAGTCTGACTCAGGCTACAGGGGGTCCAAACTTTCAATGGACCTTCCAAAGTTAGCTCTGTTTTGGAGTTCCATGTGCGACAGCAGCTGAACCCACTTACTAGCAGTGAAGCAAGATTTTGGGGGAGAGCAGACTCTTTAGCAGCACCTGAAAGCTGTGACTCTTCAGATTTCTGATTGGAGTTCCAGAGAAGGCTTTCTGAACAGGGAGAAGAGGTGTCTACTGGCATCAGCTTACAAATCGCCACAGGATAAGATGAGGCAGCTAATGGCATATTTGCATCTGTTGAATGATACTCTGTGAACCCAGGGGCTATGTTTTGTACCTTGTTATGAGCAATGAATTGGTGTCCAATGAGGGTTTTTTCACATGCTATGGCCTTGCTAGATAGAACAGACAATCTTGCTGGCACTATTGACCTTTCCTTCTCTTCATTAGAGCTACCTTGCAAAGGCTCTGTAGAGCAGCAGTCAGCTGTGGTTAGGGCGTGACAAGTCTGAAACGAATCTTCACCATCATTAATTTGTGTCTCCTCTTCATCTCCGGACATCAAACCTACCTCCTCAGCCATTTGCTGTATGAACTACAGAACGAGTCTGTGAACAAAGTGGAAGCAAGAGGATTTCATTTCCACAAAAAAACTAATGCCCAGTGACATTTGAAGAAAGAATATCTCTTTATGTTTAAGCAATGAAACTATTACTTTTCTAATAAAGCACAACCTCTGGGTCACTTCAGGCCATTTCTCATGATTTGCATTAGATGTTCTTTGAGACACAACATTAATCCAATAATAATTAAAATGATATACTGTACTATTAACATTCTCAAATCTTTAAAGCAAAGTGATCTATGCCTGCAGCACTGCCTGTGCTGACTAATTAAACAGAATACAGTTGTAAATGGCTATTGTAAGCACTTCCCCCTTTTAAAAATATAGCTTAGGAAAGTGTAGTTTATAGTGATAGGAGAGTTATCAGTACTGATCAGATTTAAACAGAGGCCAGTGTACCATAAAGAGCAGGTTTTATTTACATATCCCCCCCACCCCCAGTGAATTCTATCTCCTAACACTTTGCTTATGGTGTTGTTTCTTTTCCCTATTAATTCTCTTCAGTACAGCTATATGCCAGGTACTCATACAAAGGAAAAGAACACTTACCGAGACTGGTAGGGGAAAAAGACTTACAGTGCTCTATGCCTGGGCATCATGTTTTCTCGTATATGAGTCAGCACAATCTGGAACAGGAACTCATCCCAATGCAGAAGCAGCAACAGCAGCAGCAGCAACATTAGCCTGTTCCACCCAGCAACAACAGATCCTTGTAAGTGAGCTCCAATAGCCACAGGAGTAGAGCTGTTTTCCTTTAAGGATATTGTGCTCTTAATACCCCTGTTGAACTGTGTGCATGGATTTGAGCATCCAGCTAAAAAAATCAGTCACTTCAAACACCCTTCCTTTTCACTCTTCCTCCTCAGTAATTTTCTGATTCTAACATGAATCTGGAAGTCTGCACCTGCAAGTCTCTGTGTGAGAGCTAGCAGTGTATACCTAGCTCAGCACAAAAGAGGGTGAGGCATTCTGGACTCCTGTACATACATATCATTTCCGTTTCAAGAATATAAACAGCAATTAACTTTTAGGAACTAAGTCTAAAAACAAAACCAAGGGAAAATGTCAAGTCGGTGAGCATCCCTGAAAATCAGGTGTGGATGCTTAACACAAACAAAAGCAGACTCTCCCTACGCCTAAAGAAGGGTGTTTGTACCCAAAAGCTTGCAAAGAACAATTTTTCCAACCAGGTAGTTTGTCTAATAAAGGATACCACATTTACAAAGGTCTGCCGTTTGGGTCCAAGGTCTTTGACTTTTGGCACCTGAGTTTGAAAATGCTGGCCCTAATGTTTAAGAGGAAGATTAGCGGGCTGTACTTAACCAGACCACATCATGTAGTATATCTCCCTTTGTTGGTTTGATTGCATGAGAACCACCTTTTTTTCCAATTTATAAAGCAATGAGCCAATTCATCCTTTCACACAATTGCATTTATTTCAGTGAGTTTACATAAGGGATGAATCTACCTCATGCCTTCTTTAACTACATGCTGCCATCTTCATTATGGTAATAAGAATAAAATAAAAGACCAACCTCAGTTACCTCTAGACCTCAAAGTAAACATTTTTAGACTTGAAAAAAAAACTGTAGTTGGATCCTATCTCTATGTCTCCACATTGTCTGTAATTTCAACTATACATATCTTCAGAATATCCATATTCTTGAAAAGTATCATACATATTTTGTTATGCAGATAGTATAGTTTTGTGGTTGCTCTGTTAAGCAGGATACAGCCAAACCTTGAACAGCGAACTCCAAGTAACAAATTCAGATATTTACCCAAAGGTCTGACTTGAGCACAATTTTTCCTGTGCAGACACTATTATGCTCTGAAGTTGTAAAATAACGAAATGTGTTTATGTGCCGGATCCTCATCTCATGTAAATATATGCAGCTATAGTGATTTCAATGAAACTTCACCAGTTTACAATGGCTGATAATTTAGCATATAAATCCTAGTGGGAAAAAGATACAGAGTTTTTAAACAATGCTGGAGAAATATTTAAGTGGGTAAAATAATAAACCCTGCAACAGTGATTCTGAACCAGAGTGCCATAGCTCCCTGGGGTGCCCTGACATCTTTTCAAGGGTGCTGGGGGGGGCCACACAATGTTAGTACTTTTAGGTTTACGAACATAATTCATAGATTTCATAGATTTCATAGACATTCGGGTTGGAAGGGACCCCAGGGAATCAAGTCCAGCCTCCCGCCCCAGGGGCAGGAAGTCAGCAAGGATCATAGGATCCCAGCAAGATAAGCATCCAAATATGTTTTGAAGGCATTCAAAGTGGGTGCCTGAACCACCTCCGGCAGCAGTCTATTCCAAAACTTGGGGGCTTGGACAGTGAAGTAGTTCTTTCTTATGTCCAGCCTGAACCGGTCACAGTGGAGTTTGTGACCGTTCAATCTTGTCCTCCCTTGGGGCGCTCTGGTGAACAGTTGTTCCCCCAGATCCTGATGAGCACCCTGATAAGCTTATAGGTGGCCACCAGATCACCCCTGAGCCTGTGTTTTTCCAGGCTGAATAGCTCCATAGATCTCAGCCTATCATCATAAGGTTTGTTTTCCTGACCTCTGATCATGCACGTGGCTCTCCTCTGCACCCTCTCAAGCTTCTCCACATCCTTTTTGAATTGCAGAGCCCAGAACTGGATGCAATACTCCAGCTGCGGCCTCACCGAGGCTGAGTATAATGGGAGAATGATGTCCCAGGATTTGCTTGAGAAGCATCTATGGATGCAAGCCAGCTTTTTGGTTGCTTTACTAGCCGCAGTGTCGCATTGCAGGCTCATGTTCCTGTTGTGGTCAACCATGACCCCCAAGTTCCTTTCATCTGTAGTGCTAGCCAGCGTAGCACTACCAAGCCTATAAGCATGGTGCAGGTTTTTCCTCCCAAGGTGGAGAACCTTGCATTTTTTGGTGTTAAACACTATCAGGTTCTTGTCCGCCCATTTCATGAGCTTGTCAAGATCTGCCTGGATCACCCTCCTGTCCTCAGGTGTGGATGCTTTACCCCAGAGTTTGGTGTCATCGGTGAACTTGGCCAGTCCACTTCTGACACCAATGTCCACATCACTGATGAAGATGTTAAACAGTATAGGCCCTAGAACAAAGCCTTGTGGGACTCCACTGGTCACAGCGCACCAAGAAGATTGACTCCCGTCGACCAACACCCTCTGGGTCCTACTGCAGAGCCAGTTCCCCAGGCAGCGGACTGTGGTGACATCAAGGCCGCAGTTAGCCAGTTTAATCAAGAGGTGATCGTGGGATACCAGATCAAAGGCTTTTTTAAAGTCAAGGTATACAATGTCAATCTCTTCCCCTATTCACAACATAAACTCAGAGATTTCAAATAGAAATCCATAGTTGTGATCTTTCTGAGTTCTTTGCAACAGAAAAACTGCTCTATTCTTTTTCTGTAGGCAAAAAAGAGTGGCATTTTCTAAGGGCTGCTTCAAGTCTATCCAGGGATGCCCCAAGTCTAAAAAGGTTAAGAACCACTGCCCTAAAAGCTTAAATCCAAGTGACTCCTATTCATCTGGATCCTCAGTTACCAAAATGACTGCAATGGAAAGCTGTAGCATTCAGATAATAGGGATTTTATTGTATGACACAAAAAATGTTACAGTTTAGTTTTATTTATTATTTTACCTTTTGGCTGCTCTCAAACACCTCTGCAGGGCATGATTTTCAGCTACATGTGGATAGATATATGTAGATGGGTTAGTAGGTTTCAAGTATCAAATATTTTCAGATTGTCGTGTCAATATTTTTCTGTCATTTATAATGTCCTGTGCACCTTTTCTGCCTTTGTAAAGACTTGCTGGAAAATAACTACAATTGCTGTGCAGACAAAAATTGCCTCCTCTGGAGCTTTGCTTTGTGGGCAAAATTTTGCAGATAAGTTTGCTGTTTTGGAGGTGGTGTACAATGGAAAACCTATTTCACATACATAAAAAATACTTTTCGTGAAAAATAGTATAATGATTTTTTTTATACATACATACATATACGTGTGTGTATGTGTGTGTGACAGCATAAAATGAGTGACAGCTGATAAATCAGCCAACCTAGACTGCTCCAATAAAAACCCAAACTCATTGACCAAGATGGCTTTTCATAGAACATTATAATGACTTCAGTTGTAATCCATGAAGCTTAATTGCAAAAATATTCAGTCCACTGGATTTATAGACTCAGCACATTACATAAATACAGATAGAAATGCATATTTTTTACTGCTGAAACACTAGTGACATCTGTAGCAAAGGTTGCATACATATTCCTGTTATCATCCCATTTTAGTTTTTCACAACCTTCTAAAATTTTACCTTACAATATCAGACCGAAATATTTTATATATGGCCTCTGCCTAAAGGTGATTTTCCCTTCAAATTTTTTAACCAAAAATATTTAACTATTTGTGAGAATAAAAGGAAGGAAAATAGATATTCCCTTAATTATAAAATAAACCTGTGACCTTTTTTACAAAAAATTTTTTGAAGAACATTAGTTCTATAATGATCAGGAGTGAATGTGTCAGGAAATACCTTGAACAAGGAATAAGATTTATACTTTAAGTGTTCTGATAAACAATGCTTCTGAATTACACTCAGCACTTCCAGGTAGGGTACGGTTCTTAGAGTATTAGACATATTTGCCTAAGGCTTTGCTACCTTCTCACTGTACTGGCCAATGCAGAATTTGGTGGTATGAGAGCTATAGAAAGTCTGGTACATAATGTTGTCATTTATTAGAGTTCAAAAGTTCAAGATCTTAAGGAAAAGAAGGGAAGAGAGCAACAAAATAAAGACAATGAACTTCAGAAAAGCAGACTTAATAGACTCCAGAAACTGGTCAGTAAGAGCCCCTGTACGGCAACTCTAAGGGGAAAAGGGTTCCAGGAAAACTAACTGTAGTTAAAGAAGGCCATATCAAGGGTGCAAGAATAAATAATCCCAATGGGTTTGTCTACACATGCAATTCATTCTATATGGGTTTACTGTGCAGAAATTTACTGCACAGTAAACCTGCCCTGGGCAAATATCTACATGTGCAGCCATTGGGGAGTAGATTTCCTCCTCATGGCACTAGACTGCTCCAGGCTTCTTCTGGTGCTAAACTGCCCCTGTGCAGCAGCCAGGGGGACCTGGAGGCTTTGGCCACAGCTGTCTGGGGCCAGAGGAACTTTTTAAAACCCCCTGCCCACCTGCATTTTTGGCCTAAAGCAACCTGCAGCATGCTGACACTATTGCCAGAGCCTGCGTCCACCGTGTAATGGCTGCTCCACCCCTAGGCCCCAGGAATGAGAACCCATGCCCTGGGCTCCTGCTTTCCACACTCCTCACCATGCTTCACTGCTGCAGAGACTGCCACCTGGGCCAGGTAGGTCTTGACCTTGCCTGGCCCCCTGTACTGTGCAGCCAGGTGGCCAGGCTCACCGTGGTGTCTGAGGTCCCCTGCCTCTGCACTGACACTGCTCAGCCCTTAGGCTGCCACCTGGACCCCAGCAGGGATGCTGACAAAGCGCATGTGGACACTGCCACCTGTGTCACCCATGAGCTCCTGGGGCTCCAACCCCATTCCCTGTGGGCCCATTCAGCCAGCCAGGACTGGTGGTTGCACATTGTCCAGCACACCTGGGATGATGAGCAGTGGCTGGAGTTGTTTCTGATGACCAAGGCCACCTTGCAGGAGCTCCGTGACCAGCTCTGCCTGCACCTGGAATGGAAGGCTACCATCATGTGTCTTTCCTTCCCCAGGAAGACCCATGCTGAAGCTGGCCATGCCTGCCAGCCTGAACTACATTCAGCATGGGCAAGACAACCACCAGGGAGGCCATTATGGAGGTCTGTGCTGTCCTCCAGGGTGTGCTGGGGTACACTGTTCTCT